GGGCATCCCTGGGTGCGGGATTTGTTGGGCCCTGTGCCCCTCTGCAACACAGAGCACCTGGATTTCTCCAGCACCAGGGATCTCCCTGTGCATCCCTGTGTCCTTTCCAGCACCAGGGAACTCCCTGTGCATCTCTGTGTTCATCCCAGCACCAGGGATCTCTCTGTGGATCCCTGAGTACATTCCAGCACCAAGGATCTCCCTGTGCATCCCTGTGTTCATCTCAGCACCAGGGATGTCTGTGCATCCCTGAGTACATTCCAGCATCAAGGATCTCCCTGTGCATCCCTGAGTACATCCCAGCACCAAGGATCTCCCTGTGCATCCCTGTGTCTATATTCCAGCACCAGGGATCTCCCTGTGCACACATCCCAGCACCAGGGATCTCCCTGTGCATCCCTGTGCCTCTATTCCAGCACCAGGGATGTCTGTGCATCCCTGAGTACATTCCAGCATCAGGGATCTCCCTGTGCATCCCTGAGTACATTCCAGCACCAAGGATCTATCTCCCTGTGCATCCCTGTACGCACATCCCAGCACCAGGAATCTCCCTGTACGCACATCCCAACATCAGGGATCTCCCTGTGCATCCCTGTGCCCATCCCAGCATCAGGAATCTCTCCCTGGTAGTGGGGAAGGGAAGGGGCAAAAATAGGCAGAGTTAATGGGATTTTGGCACCAGGGAAGAGTAAAAATTGGGCAGAGTTAAGCAGATTTCGGAACCAGGGAAGAGTAAAAATTGGGCAGAATTAAGGGGATTTTGGCATGGGAGGAGGAAAGGGACAAAAATGGGCAGAATTAAGAGGATTTGGGCTGTTTTACCCCCCTGGCCACGTCTCCTGGCCCCGTGCCAGGGGTGCCAGGGTCAGTCCCTGCCCCTGACAGGCAGTGGGATTCCCTGATGTGGGAATCCCGTGGATGGAGTTCTCCGTGCTCCATCCCGCATCCCACCTCCCTCCCACAGGGCTGCCTGGGCGCCTCCGTTTCCCCCCACTCCAGCATTTCGCCGACCACAGTGGCCCCAGGGGCACAAATCCCAGGCAAACTGGGAGAGGATTTACCAGGATTTACCAGGAAAGCTGGGATTTACCATCCCCATCCTCCCCCCCCCCTCCAGCTTTAATTCTAGATTTCCAGGAACACCGAAAAACGAGACGACTCCCGGCCACGACCCAAAACCTGGTTTCTGTGGAGATTTAGGGCAAGGATAAACAGGTCCAAGTTATCCTGGGATAAACTGAGGGATAAATAGGTCCAAAGATGTCAGATTTTGCCAAGGAGCATATGGATGCAGGGATCCATCCCTTGAGGACGAGCTCAGAGGGAGGATGCTGCAAAGGGGGTGGTTTACAGAAGCGTCCCTGGGAATGTGACCCCGACGTTTCCCTCTGGGAGTGCCTCTCCATCCCGGATGGGTTTTTCGGGGTGTGCTCACCCCGTTCAGGGAGCAGCAGGTGGAGGAGGCGGCAGATGGGGCGCCGGAGGCCACGTTCCCATGACTCCCCTGCTCCCGAGAGGTGCTATATTTAAATCAATATTTTCCTGTTTAATCCGAGTGCTGCTAAGTCAACAAACAGAGCCATGATGGAGAACATCCCTCATTTTCCATCCCCAGATGGATTCTGCCATGGGGGGAAAGAAAGATCCATGGGATTGCCAGGCTGGCATCCTGCTCATCCCTTCGCCGAGCAGCAAACGGATCCCAAATCCACCCTAAACGCACCCTTGCTCAGTGCTGGGGTGTGCAAGCATGTCCTGTCCATTCCAGTGGTTTTATGGGAAGCTGGAGGCAGGAAAAAGTCTCTATCTTGAGTTTTGGGGTTTTTTTTCCTTGTTTTCTTGAAAGCACCATTTCCTCCCGCAGCTGGAGCGGGATGTGCCTCCAACGGCCCCTCGGGAATTAAAAGGTTCGTGTCCATCATCAGGCACAGGGTGAAGGAGCTCCTATGCACCCAGGATGGCTTGGATTGCTCCAGCTCCATGGAAAAGCTGGAAAGCACCCAGGACAAACAGTCCTGCCCCCGAGGGAGAACAGCACGTTACCTCTCTGGGCGGGACGTGCCAAGAGGCTGAACCCCCCTCACCTCTGCCAAAACCACTGCCAAACCATGGGGGCTGGGAAAATATCCTGAGGGGATCATGCTGCAGGGGTGCTGGATCCCAGGGGAATATCTTAAGGGAATGATGCTGCAGGGATACCCAACCCCAAGAGACTATCTTGGGGGTGTGAGATCTTGGGAGAGAATACTCTGGGGGAGCATCACCACACAGACTTACCAGACCCCATTATTAATCCCTTCCCAGCACAGAGATGGGCACCAGGATGTTCCGAAGGATCACCACCACGATGTGGGATGGATGATCCCACACCCCCAAATTCCCGAGCAGCGATGAACCATTTCCCCTCCCAGACTCCCCAGACTGGCCCTTTCCATTGAGTAAGGGAGGAGAAAAAAACGAACAAGTCAAAAATAGAGCTTATTTCTTCTCCTTTGGTCCGGGAGAACATAAATCCCTGTTCCCGGCCAGCCTTCCCGGTGCCAAGTTACATCCGGTCCTCGGTGCTCTCGCTAATAATTACGGCAACTCAGTCCCCCCTCTGCCCCCCCAGCCCAAGCTGGTGCCTCCTGAAATAAAACATCCCAGCTCCACTATCCAATAAATCAAAAAGGGAAATAAAAAACTCCTGGTTTCAGCTGGGCTATGGCCGGAGCACAAAGAAATCCCGGGGCAGGAGAGAGATTTGGAGATACAGCCGTGGCCTTGCCCTTAAAAGGGAAAATTCGCACCCTCTTCCCTGAGGCCGGAGGGTTCAAGCAAGGTGAGGAGCAGGCTCTGCTCCCACGGGGTGGCCCATGGACACGAGGTGATGCTCGGCCAAACTGGGCTCCCAGCTGGTAAAAATCCACCTGGAATGCTCCCAGAGTTGGGATGAAGCTGGGGTTGGGGGGGTGGGGTCAGCAGAACATCCCTGGTACGGGGCCATCGCAGGGTTGGTACCGTCCCCGGGAGCTGCCTGAGCAGGAAATATCTCTTTATAAATTATTCAAATAGGCCATGTATTATATAAACCTAACACATTAATAATTTAGGAATGCCACTGGGTGCTCTGCCACGCCTTGGGGACCTGCCAATGTCCCCAAGGTGGCACCAGCCCCAGCCCCAGGAGGCCCCTCGTTACCCTGCTTAATTATAACTCTTGATTATTCAACAGCACTTTCCACCCCAAGACTGGAGAGGACAAACTGACACATCGGGAAAAATGCTGCAAAACTCACCCCAAATTCACCCAAAACATCCCCAAGGAAGTGTTAAACAGGAGCCACCGATGGTTGTTGTCTGGCAGTGGGGACAACAGCTGGAGAAGGAGCTGGATGGGGAGCAGAGATCCCTGGAGAATGCCATGGGGGGTATAATGCTGCAGGGATAATGGATCCCAAGAGAAAATCCTGGGGGAATGATGCTGTGGGGATGGCAGGCCCCAGAGGGGGGTGATACTGCAGGGATGCTGGATCCCATAAGAATATTTTGGGGGAATAATGCCGCAGGGATGATGGACCCCAGGAGGATATCTTGGAGAAAGATGCTGCAGGGATGTTGGATCCCAAGAGAATATCCTGGGGGAATGATGCTGTGGCAATGTTGGATCTCACAAGAATATTTTGGGGGGAGGATGTTCCAGGGATGCTGGACCCCAGGAGAATATCCTGGGGGAATGATGCTACAGGGATGCTGGATCCCACAAGAATATCTTGAGGGAATAATGCTGCAGGAATGATGGATCCCACAAGAATATTTTGGAGGGAGGGTGCTGCAGGGATGTTGGATCCCAGGAGAACATCTTGGACTAATGATGCTGTGGGGATGCCAGACCCCAGGAGAACATCTGGAGGGAATGATGCTGCGGGGATGCCAGACCCCAGCAGAGCACCCTGGGGGAAGAGGCAGCAGGGATCCAGATTTTGGGAGTATCCAAAGAAAACCCCCTTGCTGCACGTGGCTCTGCCCTGGCCAGCAAGGGTTACACAGCCCTGGGCACCTCAGCCTTGGCTGTTGGAAGGGAATGGTCCAGCCCATCCTCTCCAACCGGCATGGAGCAGGGGGAGAGAGCCCTGCCAGCACCATTCCTGCCAGCTCCCGGCAAATCCTCCGCGGGAACGGGTATTTCTGGGCTTCTCCCAGCGCTATTAAAAGCCCCGTGGGTGCTGGCACTGCCGTGCTCAGGAGGAGGTGATGCTTCCAAGCCCTTCCCGGCACAAACACCCGGAGTGATGGGAACCCAACCCCGCGTTCAAACCACGGCCAAAGGGCTGGCGGTGCCAAAAACCCACCCCAGGAAAGATCCCAAAACACGTGGCTGCACTTTGGAGTGATCAAAGCACCTTCACATCCCCCAAACTACATCAGTTCTCCCCCAGACAGGATCAAACTTTACTCATCCATCAAATATTCGGTGCATGCACAGGAATGTTTTTCCCCCTTTTTCCCACCCACCAGCACAGCAAAGTCCATGATCCTATGGGAAGGATCGGAGGTTTTTTGAGGGGGAAAATGCAGGTTTGCTCAATAAGGGGTTTAACATGGGGAATCCCAAGAAGAAGCCTTTGCAGCCAAGGAAAAGGCAATTTCAGGGATGGCCAAGAGCACGACCTTATATATCAGGACCTTACATATCATAAGATGCTATATATAAGCAAAACATTTAATAGATATATTTATAAAACCTCCTGCCACCAAAATACGGTGCTATTTAACCTGGAAACTGCTTCTTCCCATCCAAAAATCAGGGGGTTATCAGGGAGGTTTGCTCCAACAAACAAGAGCTCGTCTCCTGGGTACTGCTGGGAAGGGCTGGGAAGGCTCTTGGCCATCCAGCAGCGCATCCACACACGGGAATTTGTCCACAAGGGACACGTGACGGGTCTCCAAAGCCACCAGTGCTCTGGAGGGGTCATGAATCCTGGGAAATAAAGGTGTTTGTAGGAAGGAGCGGCACTTACCACCTGTGGCTTGGTCCTGGGGCCGTGTTCCTCGGGCAGCCGTGGGCAGCGGGGCAGCCGGGGCGCTGGGGTGGCCGGAGGAGAGCGGGGTCCATCCCCGGGGCTGGGGGACGTGTCACCTGAGTTGAGGGCCAGCATGTACCGCTTGGTGACATCCTCCAGCGAGGGAGGTTGGAGCGTCGGGAAGGCTTTCCCGGGGGAGCGGCTGGTGGCCG